AATGGCCTAAAAGCAACAGAATTAAGCATTTAGCACAAAATCCCACCCACTAGTCCAATTACTCAGAAGCGGGATTTAGCACACACACAAAAACCACACAGAGGGGAAAAACATACACACACATTTAGTACGTGCTGTAGGCACTGATATTCTTCCTGCTGTGCTGCTCCAGTTCGGTGCAGGTACAGCATCAGTGCCTCTGGTTTTAACCCCCACTTTTACACCACACCTTTTAGCATGAGTTTGATATTTCACTCATGTAAGAAAAGCAGCTATGCCAGTAATTATTATACCAAATGGTACTTGCTGCTGCACTATGGATGGATAATACACTGCTGACACATATAGGCACCTCCTATGGGTGACCACAAAGCCTCTCACTTCATGAACCCTCTGAAGAACTGGAGAGACATGTGTCCTTCTGCACAGGGCATGAGTGTCTGGCTATAAAACTTAATCTGTCTGGCTGCTACTCATCACAGACTGTGGCTTACTGCTGTCGCTTGAAGCAAACCGGAAGATAAATCCTTGCTCTTAACATGAACTTGGAAAAATTTAAGGTCGTAGGAGGAAAGGGGGAAGCGTAACTCATTCCCTTCCTCTAGTGGAACTGAAAAAAATGTCCATTCGTTACATCAGGCTGCTCAAATCAAGTGCTTAAAGACAAGGAATCATAGAACGATAGAGTGGTTTGGGTTGGAAACTCATCTAGTCCAACGCGCTGCCATGGGCAGGGACATTTTCCCTAGACTAGGTTGCTCAAAGCACCATCCAGCCTGACCTTGAACACTGACAGTGTTTGGGCATCCACAGCTTCTCTGGGCAACCTCTTCTGGTGTCTGTTATATAGTTCATCTAGGTATATACACAGGGCCTCCAGATCCTAGGCTTGATGATGCTGAGGCTACAACCATCCTCACAAACTGTCTCACCCTAATTTGTTCTCTGTGGAGTTGTGTACCCAGCTGTAGCAAGTTGCTCAGACTCCCTCACTAGACAATGCTTCTCCCACACCTCCCTGCCTGCCTGACACAGCTGGGAAGGTCTCTGCGTTCCCAGCAGTGTGCACAGGGACCGTGAGCTAAGTTAGTTGTTGACCTTCCTTTGATACTCGAATTTGCTCAGTCACCTCTTCTCCAGCCAAATGGTTACAGAAGACAGCCTGGGACCAGATGAACACAAGCTACAGGACCAGATGAAGACAAGGAAGAGGAGGTCTGCATGAAACCGATCCTCTGAGTGCATGGTGTGGGTGGTGGGGTGGCCTGCCCCAAGCTCGAGCAGACCCTCCGTGTTAAACTTGGGCAGATGCAGCTATGGGGTGGAGTTGGTCAGTGTGACATCCTCACAGAGCAGTTCATGTGGCCCTGGGGCATCAGCCTGACCTTGTCAGCATGGCTGAATCAAGAAGGGTGGGACGAGCCACTCCTCATGTCCCCCTCCACCAAAGTGGTGATGCTCATGAGCAAGAGTAGCAAAAACAAGTTATGGCTCTGGTCCCACCATCTGACCCCGACGGGTGGACTCCCACACAGTGATCTCACTCTGTCGGCTTACTCACAGCTTCACAAGTAGCAGAGAAAGGTCATGCTCAGTTAAAACTGAAATGTATTTTCTTACAGTTTTTCCCCCTTGGGCCAGATGCTGTAGCCCTGATTTGGGCAAAGGTCCAATTGGAAATAATGAGTGTAATTACCTTGTAAGCACCTTAGTGGAAAATATTGGTATAGTTAATTATACAGGGATGCAATGCTAACTCATTTCCCAGTGTTTAAAATACAAATATTAACACTTTCTCCTTCGGGACTTTGAGAAGATTAGTTATTGCTGCAGTCTAACAGAATTTGTAAGTTTTGCAGCTATTGCAATCAGTTTAAGGAAGAAGTTTCCAATGCTGATTTTAACATCACTGGCTGGTATTGCACAGAGCGGCGCTACACTGCACTGAACCAGACTTCGAGTGCCGTTGCAAGAACGAGGTCTTTGGCCCCAGCCCTCTAAACATCCAAAACTAAGATTCTTTTCAAAGGATGTTTTAGGACAAAAAAAGTTATTTTAGGGTTCTCAAATTGAAGATAAGAAACTCACCCTTTGAATATCAGGAGAATTTAAATCCTTGGAGATGGATACCCAAAACCTGGGACTTGGGTACCTTTTAAGAAATCCTGGCTAAATTGTCTAAGTGAAAATGCCACTATTGTTCACTAAGGATCATAGGAAACGGCACAATGAGCTCATGGCATGGACTGAGCATGTGCATGCACTCGAGCATTTGAAGTCTTCAAAACGTAGACCCAGGTATTTCTACACTATTTCTGATTGACTCTCCAGTTGTTGAACAAGGAGCCTGCTACTTCTCTGTTAGTCTGTTGAAAAAGCCCCATTACTTCAAGTCAGCAGCTGGCAGAGCCCTCTCAGAGGGAATTAGCAAAAGCCACTAAATGTGTATTGCTTGCCCTGGTGTTTGTTAACATCTGTGAATAATCCAGTGCATCCTAGCAGGTAGTCATAGGCTAGAAAAACAAAGGGCTCTACTCCTTTCTCACACCTCTGAAAAAAAGAGTTGAGAAGATTTACAAAAATATAAAACTGTTCTGAGGTTTCCCTTAGGGAGTTTTTCAGGAAAAAAAAAAAAAAATGGGGGAAAAAAAAAGAGATCCACCAACCCTTTGGGCATAGGCCTTACTGTTCAGCAAAAATCACGTAATGCATTCTGCACCAGGCCACCTCTTCTGCCAGGAGCTGCTGCTGCAGGCAGCACCCGCAGGGCTTCGTGCTCCTGCCTGGGCCCCCCAGCTCCGGTGGGGAGCATAGAGCAGGGGGACAGCGAGAGAAGAGGCAGGCACAACGCCCTGCTGGCAATCCCTGACATGGAGAAGCCCAGACTTTTTGCATTGCTAGCAGAATTAAAGAGGCTGGTGATTAGGCAATGGAGCTAGGCGGCTTATGAGTCCGCTGCAGCACAAGCACAGCCTCCTGCTTCCGATGGAGCAGCGAGCAAAGCCTGTCCGCATGTCCTGCTGCGGCAAGCAGGGCATTCACTCCAAGCAAAGGGGAGCTCCCTAATAAAAACTGCTTTTGTCTAAATATTTTGCTTGAAAAAGTAAGCCCTGTTGCATCTGCTACTTGTCAGTTTTCTGCCTGTTTTGTTGTTACACAGGCCCAAACCTTGCCCCCAGCCACCCCCAGGCAGCAGGGGCAGGAGTTGAGGGAGCACTGGGAGCCCGAGCCCTGTGGGCTTCTGGTGCACAGCAACAAGGATGGATTAGTCACCACCTTGAATTCTGAGTACACTGCCACACACCATCTGTACAGAAAAATTAAGGAAGCAGCTCCCCCAAAGGAAAATAGAACCACCATTCCTCAGAAAGCTGCCAGACAGGTATTTTTGACAGTGGAGAAAATACAAACAGAAGTGTTTACAGGCAGGGGACAAACTCCAGTCTAGTTCAACAGTGTCCAGGTGTACCCTTGCCAGCTGAGGACAGCCTCCATAAATCACAACACTGCTCTCACAAGTGTCAGCATAGAATCTTTTAATACTTTACATAAAAAAAACTGCATACACAGTTCATAATTTTATGTAAACATCATATACATCTCAGTTTTTGCCATGTCAGTTTATTAAAAACAAAAACAGAAACAGTCTCAGTACCACTGTTGAGGGAAGAGGGAGAAAAGTAAACAAACGTAAATGGACACATTTGTTCTCTGAACCAGAGAAACACAGGATTATTTTCACCAGGGTTGGCTACCCTGTGAAAATAGAGTTTTAAATAAACCCAGATTCTTTAAATTGCCCTTTAGTATTAATATCTGATGTATTCACTGCATAAGGAACAGTGTTTTCATCCATTTTTTCCAAGGCAAAAAGATACAGTGGTTTTATTTCGTCTTGCGTTGAGATCACAATTTAAAACAAGACCCAGATGAGGTTACCGAGTAAGAATGTTTCCAATGCTACAGTGTCATATGCAGATGACAAGTGCGTTGAGCATTTAACTTAAACAAAAATCCACCAAGTTGTGCAAAGTAATTTCTTTTGAAAATAAAACTTTTAAATAAACCCAAATCAATATACTTGCAGAAGACAACATTAAAGGAAGGAGCAGGCACCAAGATCATAATATGGCAATATCATCTCCTTCCCCCTTGTTCATCCTGCCTTGTCTGTCAGGACAGCGAGGAGGACAGAGCAGTTCAGCTTTACTTTCCAGCCTGGTGGCTTCTGCAGCTGGCATCAGTTCAAGGCTCGTATCATCAGCGGGCATCAGTCACTCGGGGCAAGTTCCTTTGCACAAGTCCCAGCTGGGCACCCCCTCCCCATCTCACTTTAAATAAGCACCCCCCCTGCAACACCCCAGTTTGCACAAGACAGAAAAAGTAAGATATATACAGGCTTTGCTTGGGATGTCCCTCCCCTCCCAGTCTGTCTTCAGGGCACTAACTTCCACAACAGGTCAGGCTCAGGCCGAAACATCTGCGGGAGAGGCAAGGATGCTGCAGGCAGCCCAGGAGATGCAGCCTCCTTCCCCAGCCCACCCGGGAGGGAGGCACATGCAGGCAGGAGGCAGAAGTCCCTTTGAGCATCTCAGCACCACCGCTGTCCTCTTGCAAAAGAGAGGAGGCTGTCTGGGAGCTGGGAGCAGCAGGTGGTGGGCAAAGGGAAACCGCCGGGTGCAATGTTTGCTCAGTCCAGTCTCAGCAGCTTTTCGTTGTCGAGAGTCTGCAATTAACTTGCAGGGGCTGGTGGTGGGAGAAAGCCTCTCCCCACTTTTTCCCAATACTCAGGGCATGCAATTCCCCCCCTCCCTCTGTCCCCACGGCTGAGCCAGCACAATCCTTTTCAGCCAAGGCTAAAGGAACACGCTCCTTCCCTTAGCCCCGCCAGCCCCCAGTGGGGGGACAGGCAGATGCCGCGTGCGTGCATAGCCCAGCTCCTCTCAGCCTGCCAACAGGTGACCCAGGCGCTGTGCCCAGCACTGCACTCCAACCGCGCCCTATAGGACTTTGCAGCAGTTGATGCAGCCGTTCTGGGTGCCGTAGCGCTTCTGCAAAGCTGCCCGGGTGGCAGTCTCAAAGACCTCCCGGACACCCTCCTTGGTTTTGGCCGAGCACTCCAGGTATTTTTGGAGGCGAATGGCCAGGGCGCGGCCGTCCTCGGTGCGCACCGGCTCCTGCTTCATGCGAGCCAGCTCGTTGCGCACGTGCTCGTCGTTGCGCAGGTCTTTCTTGTTGGCCACCAGGATGATGGGGACGTTGGGGCAGAAGTGCTTGACTTCAGGCACCCACTTCTCAGGAATGTTCTCC